CACCGACCAGAGTGTCCAGCCCTTCAAGAGCTTTAAATATTACTCAATCACTCGCCCAACAGCTAAACTGTTCAGTTGAGAGCAGCTCTAGTAGAATGCTTGAATGCCTGAAAGGCAAATCAGCTTTGGAGATTCTCTCCATCAGCAAAGACGCCGCCGCCCAAAATCGTCTCTTTCTGCCCACCTACGGAGACCGCTTTTTCCCGTTGAAACCGTCAAAAGCACTGCATACTGGCGCTTTCAACCCAAACATCTCTCTACTTTTTGGCGTGAATCGAGATGAAGGCAGTCTGGGTGCGGCCAGGTGGTTGCCCACTGATGAAAAGTTGCAGCAGCAAAATAAGGTCGCCTTAGCTAGGACTGCCATTCAGTCGATGCTGCGCTTCTTCTTCAACGTCACCGATGATGATCAAAGAATAGTGGGCCATTACACCGCCTCATTTAGCGACCAGTCTTCAACAGCAGAGGATGTTAAGCTGGCGATCGCCTCTGTCTTTGCGGACATTAACTTTGTCTGTCCGACGATTCTCTTTGCGGAGCACTACCATCGAAGTCAACCGAAGTCTAGCAGCAGCAGCACCTTTTACTCGTACCGCCTAGTGCAGCCGGTCACCTTTCCGCCATTTTGTTCAGGTGGCCATTTTCCAGGGGTCTGTCATGCAGTCGACCTGCTATACATCTTTGCCATGCCCAATCAGCTGCCAGCCGGTTTTCCCTACACCGATGATCATTTGAAACTGAGCGCTGACATGCTCGCCGACTGGTTGAGCTTTGCAAAGTGGGGAAAAGTGGCAAATCAAAGTTGGAAGCAGGCTTTTGAAGACAATGATAAAACAAAAGCGGTAGAGCTGGTCTCGGAAAGGTATCAGATGATCAGTCAGTTCTACCTGGACAGCTGTAATGCTCTTTGGGAGGAAAAGCTATTTAGTGCCGGAGAATGAAATGTACAAAATGAACCAAATAAAAACAACAAAGCTGATGTAACATTGTCGACTGTCTCACGCAATCCCATCAGAGTTTAACTGTGTGTCTAACTTCAAAGTTCTTTTTGAATACTTTTTGTGGTTTCTAAACGCTGTTTACTGGAGACTGACGTGAGACTGAGTCATCATCCTCAGAGAAAAAAGAACAGAGGAACAGCCGCGAGGACCTAAACGATGCGGTGAGAGAAAGATAATCATCAAAGAAAATCTCGGTGCGATAAATGATAAAGTGACGGCAGCAGCAGCGGCAGACTGGTAATCGTCGCTGGTAACTTAATCTCCAACATTTAATTTATTTTGACTTGCTGATGACTGACAACAGCAGACGACGACAAATGAATGAGCCGCTAATTAATGAGGGTAAGCTTTTGGTGGTGGTAGTGGTTTGTCAGTTGTAGAAACTTTTGCTAGTTGGTTGCATCAAGTTTTCCATTTGAAAAACAAGAGTATATAAATGGACTACAGAATCACAACAACTTTACTCTATTGCACTCATTCAACCTTTTTGCAAACAAAAACAATAAAAAATGAAAACAATTTGGACGCTACTTTTCATCGGAGCAGCTCTGCAGCTCGTTACTGCTACAGTCGACAACAATGGACCGATAGTGAAGCTGCCTGCTGGTGGTGGGACAGTTCGTGGCCTTCAGCAGGAGGTCAATGGAAAGAAGATCAACTTTTTTCAAGGTATTTTGCTAAAGCATTTTACAAAGCTTTTTAAATCATTTTCACCCGTTTTCAGGCATTCAGTACGGCTTGGCAAAGCGCTTTGAGAAGCCCACCTTTGCCCCTTCCTGGACGGGCGTGTACAATGCCACCGAGTACCGGGACGCCTGTCCTCAGGTGGGCATCGGCAAGCCACCCCCGGGAGTGCCCGCTTTCCAGACGTCCACGATGAGCGAGAACTGCCTCTACGCCAATGTCTGGGCACCGGCGGTTGAGGTTGGGGCACCGGGCACTAATCGAAGTGTGCTGGTCTTCATTCACGGCGGTGGATTCACTGGTAAGAAGCGGTGGCTAAATTTGCAAATTCAAAAAAAAATTAAATTGTACTTTTTCCAGTGGGCACCATCTTCAACTTTCTGGTGGACGGGCGGTACCTGGCGGCAAAGGGCGACCTCGTGGTGGTGGCCATCGCCTACCGAATCGGCGCCTTCGGCTACCTGTACGGTGGCATTGCGAGCACACCGGGAAACCTCGGCTACCACGATCAAATTTTAGCCTTAAAATGGGTGAAAGCGAACATTGCCGCCTTTGGTGGGGATCCCAGTAAGGTAAAAAATAAATAAAGTATTTGGAAACCAAAAAAAACTTACTAAAAAATCAAATCTAGGTGACCATCGCCGGTGAATCCGCCGGCTCCTACTCCGTCGGCGAGCTGATCCTCTCTCCGCTCGCTAAAGGCCTTTTCCACCGGGCAATCCTGCAATCCGGAGCTCCAAACAGCCTCACCGGAGGAATGCCAAAGAGTCGATCGCTAGAAAACACNGTATTTGGAAACCAAAAAAAACTTACTAAAAAATCAAATCTAGGTGACCATCGCCGGTGAATCCGCCGGCTCCTACTCCGTCGGCGAGCTGATCCTCTCTCCGCTCGCTAAAGGCCTTTTCCACCGGGCAATCCTGCAATCCGGAGCTCCAAACAGCCTCACCGGAGGAATGCCAAAGAGTCGATCGCTAGAAAACACCAAAGCCCTTGCTCGGCACCTCAACTGTTCTACCTCCAGTAACCAGGCGATGGTGGAGTGTCTGCAGTCGAGGCCCCTGCTGTCCATCGTCAACTACACCGCCATCGAGTACAGCAGCACCGACCGCTTCTTCACGCCGATCTACGGCGACGAGGTGGCCCCCCTTGCTCCGGTAGAAGCACTTAAACTCGGTTTCATCGCCAGCCCCGGTGTGGACCTGCTGTTTGGCGTCTGCAACGACGAGGGCACCATGTTTGCGCTGAACATGTTTCCCCAGTACGCCTCCAACGCCACCCACCTGACGGTGGACTCGGTGAGGAGGGACATAGTTCACGGGACGGTGGTCTACAAGCAGCACTTTGGAGCAGAGGTGGCCGACTACTACACCAAGGATCTGGTGAACCCGACGCAGGATCAGCTCAAGTGAGCGTGAGGGAGCAAGTTTACACCAAAAAAGCTAATCTTTTCTATTTTGAGCAGACTGGCCACCGCCCGTTCATTCGGTGACCTGCACATCGTCTGTCCCACCATTCTCATGGGAGAGCAGTTGGCCCAGCACAGCAGCAACTTTTCCTCTTCAAACAAACCTCCCTCCTACTTCAGCTACCGCCTGATGCAGCACCTGGGCATTCCCGGCCTGCCCTACCAGTCGTGGATGGGCGTCCAGCACACCGACGACCTAATGTACCTTTTTGCGCCGGTTCTGGCCACTAAAACTGAGGATAAGCAGCTCAGCGAGGTGATGCTTGCCGCCTGGAGCAGCTTTGTCAACACCGGTCACCCCNCCTGATGCAGCACCTGGGCATTCCCGGCCTGCCCTACCAGTCGTGGATGGGCGTCCAGCACACCGACGACCTAATGTACCTTTTTGCGCCGGTTCTGGCCACTAAAACTGAGGATAAGCAGCTCAGCGAGGTGATGCTTGCCGCCTGGAGCAGCTTTGTCAACACCGGTCACCCCGGGGTGGCCGGTTGGGAGCAGGCTTTCAGCGGTGAGGGCAGCGGCCAGCAGCAGCAGAAGCAAGCCAAAAGTACCCGCCACTTTGCGCTGAAGGCCTCCGGAGCGTCCATGGTCAGTGGCGCCTACCAGGCACTCTGTGATGGCTTCTGGAAGGCAAAGATTGTCCAGTGAAAAGAATGATTCAAGTTTTCAAAGCGGTTTTAAATGATTCAATGTGCGATTAAGTGGGTGAATTAATAAAATGTTCAATATATTATTTTTTGCTTGGCCGGAAACACTTTTTGTATAAAAATTTAAACACCACAAACATTCATTGTAAATGTAAACTCGTTCATTGAATGAGCAAAAGGAAATAATCATTTGTTGAGAATAA